AGTTATACCATTGTTATGTCAAATGCAAAAAGACAAAATACACACTTAAGAGACCATCATTAATTATAAGATGATCAGACTGGATAAGAAAAGCCTTCAACTATACGCTGTTACCAAGAGACACACCTTAAATATAACAAAATAGAAAAATTGGAAGTAAAATGGATATAAAAAGACACACCACGGAAAGGCTAACTGTAGAAAGCTGATGTAGCTATTTTAACACAAGTGCCCTTTGAACAATACGGGTTTGAGCGGTTCGGGTCCATTCACACACGGATTTCTTTTCAAGAAATACAGTCCAGTAGTGTAAATGTATTTTCCCTTCCTTATGAGTCTCTTAATAACATTTTCTTTTCTCTAGCTGACTTTATTGTGAGAGTACAGTATATAATACATATACAAAATATGTGTCAATCGACTTTATCTTATCAGTAAGGCTTCTGGTCGGCAGTAGGCTATTAGTAGTTAAGTTTTGGGGAGGAGTCAAAAGTTATGCAATGATTTTCTACTGCACAGGGCAGGGTGGGGTTGTCCGTACTCCTAACTCTCAAGTTCTTCAAGAGTCAGCTGTAAGGGCGCCTGGGTGGCTCGGTTGGTTGGGCGGCTGCCTTCGGCTCAGGTCATGATCCTGGAGTCCTGGGATTGAGTCCCGCATCGGGCTCTCTGCTCAGCAGGGAGTCTGCTTCTCCCTCTGACCCTCCTCCCTCTCATGCTCTCTGTCTCTCATTCTCTCGCGCGCAAATAAATAAAATCTTAAAAAAAAAAAAAAGAGTCAGCTGTAATAAGCACAGTAGACTTTATGTCAAGGAGAATTGTTACAGTTACAGAGGAACCTTTCCTAATGAAAAAAGGGTCATGCCATCAGGAAGATTTTAAAAATGCTAAATTTTAATGCACTTAATACAACAATCCCAAAATATATTGACAAAATTATGGGAAATAAACAAATCCACCTTTACAGTGGAAGATTTTAACATACCTCTCTTCATAATGAACTGACAAAGAAGGTAAAATCATTAAGGATACAGAAGATTTTATTAACCTAATTAACAAATCTGACCTAATTGATATTTACAGAACTGTCTCCAACATCCCTTTCAAGTGTACCTGGGGCACTGACAAATATTGATCAATGCGAGTTGTAACACATATCAAAGGATTCAACTGCACACAGAATGTTCTCTGAAAATAGCGGAATTAAACTGGAAATTAATAGCAAAAAGTCAATAGAAAACTCCCCCTCCCCCCCGAATTTGGAAATTAAATGATCTATTTTTAAATAACTAGAGTCAGAGAAGGAAGCTTACTACAAACAACTTGAAACATATTTTGAACTGAATGAAAATGAATATAACACACCCTAAAACCATGTTGAAGGGAAGACTTATAGTCTTCATTGAGCGTGTGGCATAGAGAAGAAAGGACTGACAATCAATGACCTAAAAAGCCAAATAAAAAAAGTTAGAGAAAGAATGGAAAATTAATGCCCCCAAACCAAAGGACATAAACAATAAATGTAAGGCCAAACATTAATGAAATAGAAAACACAGGTGAAAACAAGAATCTGCAAAGCTCAAGCTGATTCTTTGAAAAGATTCACGTGGGAGGAATTGTCAAGAAAAAAAGAGAGGATGCCCAAGTAACCAGTATCTGGAGGGAAACAGAGGCCATTGCTATAGTTCCTACAGATGTTAAAAAGATAAAAATATATAACTTTATGCCAGTGAACTTGAAAATTAAGGAAAAAATTCCTAGAAAATAAAATACCCCAAATGTAGGTATCAAAGAAAGTGCATCCATCATTTTAAATCTTCCCACAAAAAAACTTCAGGCCCAGACGACTTCATCAGTAAATTCTTTTGAACATTTAGGGAAGATAAAACACCAATCAAAAAAGAAAGAACATTTCCCGACTCATTTTGTCAGCATCAACTCAGTGCTAAAGCCTGACGAGGGTGTTAAAAGAAAGAAACATTTCTCTTGTGATTATTGTTTATAAAGTCCTAAGCAACAATCCTAAACTAGAACCAATTTCAGTGATTAGATATAAAGGTTAATATATCACGACCAAACTGGGCTTGTTTCAGGAACGCAGGGTGGTCTTTCTATTCAAATTCACTACCTTATCAGAAAAGGAAAAGGATCATCTCAATATATGCAGAAAAATCATTTGATAAAATTTAATGTCCATTCATGATGAACATTGTCAGCAAATTGGTTAATAAGAAGGAGCTTCTTTAATATTATAAAGGGTATGTACAAAAACCCTACAGTAAATATTGTAGGTCCTAGCCAGTTCAGTAAACCAAGAAAAAAAAATGATATGAAGATTCAAAAGCAGGAAGTAGACTGTCGTTATTCATAGACCTCATGATTGGTTGGGTAGAAAAGATTTTAAATACACCAATAAACTTTAGCAAGGTCACTGAATGCAAGATCAGGGTAAAAAGTAATATTTCTCTATTCTGTTAACAACTAGAAAGTGAAATTTAAAAATAAGATAGCATTTACAAGTTTCAAAGAACATCAAAAACACAGAAAACCTAACAAAAGAAATTCATGATCTGTATGCAGAAAACTACAGAACATTATTGAGATTAATGAAAGAAGACCTAACTAGCAGCAAATATTATCAGCAATAGCCAAACTATGGAAAGAGCCCAGATGTCCATCGATAGACGAATGGATAAAGAAGATGTGGTCTATATATATAATGGAATAGTACTCAGCCATCAAAAAATGGGCAATATCCACATAGAGAAGTGGATAATTTTTTTTTTAAAATTTCTGTTGCCATTTGCAATGACGTGGATGGAGCTAGAGTGTATTATGCTAAGTGAAATAAGTCAGAGAAAGACAAATACCATACACTCTCACTCATATGTGGAATTTAAGAAACAAAACAGATGAACATAGGGCAAGGGGGAAAAAAGAGAGAGGGAAGCAAACCATAAGAGACTCTTTCTTTTTTTTTTTAAGATTTTATTTATTTATTTGAGAGAGAGAGAATGAGAGACAGAGAGCATGAGAAGGAGGAAGGTCAGAGGGAGAAGCAGACTCCTTGCCGAGCAGGGAGCCCGATGCGGGACTCGATCCCGGGACTCCAGGATCATGACCTGAGCCGAAGGCAGTCGCTTAACCAACTGAGCCACCCAGGCGCCCAACCATAAGAGACTCTTAACAATAGAGAATGAACGGAGCGTTGCTGGAAGGAGGTGGGTGGGGGAGGGGCTAGGTGAGTAATGGGCATTAAGGAAGACACTTGTTATGATGAGCACTGGGTGTTGTATGTAAGTGATGAACCACTGAATTCTACTCCTGAAGTCAATATTACACAACTAACTAGAATTTAAATAAAAACTTTGAAAATAAATAAATTAAATTAAAAAAAATAAAAGACCTAAATAAATGTTCATGGGTGAAATACATAATTTTGTAAAGATGTCAGTTCTGCCCTAGTTGGTTTGCAGATTCAATGTAATCCCAGTGCAAATCTCAGCAGGATATCTGTGTGTGTGTGTGTGTGCATGCTCAAACTGAAAAACAGATTCAAACATGTACATAAAAATGCAAAGATAAGAATATCCAAAGTAGGGGCACCTGGGTGGCTCAGTTGGTTAAGCGACTGCCTTCAGCTCATGTCATGATCCTGGAGTCCCTGGATCGAGTCCCGCATCGGGCTCCCTGCTCGGCCGGGAGTCTGCTTCTCCCTCTGACCCTCCCCGCTCTCATGTGCTCTGTCTCTCATTCTCTCTCTCTCAAATAAATAAATAAAATCTTAAAAAAAAAAAAAAAAAGAATATCCAAAGTATCCCAGGACAAAAAAGTTGGAGGACTCACTCTATCAGATATCAAGATACTTGAGTTTCTTTAGGTTTTTTTTGTTTGTTTGTTTTGTTTTGTTTTTAAAGATTTTATTTATTTATTTATTAGAGAGCGAGCGAGAGAGAAACAGCATGAGAGAGGAGAGGGTCAGACGGAGAGCAGGCTCCCCGCTGAGCTGGGAGCCCGATGTGGGACTCGATCCCAGGACCCTGGGATCATGACCTGAGCCGAAGGCAGTCGCTTAACCAACTGAGCCACCCAGGTGCCCGAGTTTCTTTAGTTTTTTGCTGTTACACAGAGTACTGTACAAAATTGGTTTTGCCTGTATCATTTGGGGGTCTTGGCAGTGTATTTCTACAGGAACACAGTGTGTTTGGGTGACTTTTCCTATGACTAAAAGCCACTTGCATTTTTAGTCTGTGCATTGTGTGTTCATACCTCTAGTCATTCTTCTATGTGGATATTGCCCATTTTATTTCTAGAAGTTTTTTACGTATTAGGTATTAAAATGAACTGTATGAAATTGCTATTTCTTTAGGTCAAAATGGTTAAATACCAGAAATTTCAGGTGGCTTAACTTAATGTATTAATCCATTTGTCTGCAATAAAAACTATAAAGCTTCCTGAACTTTGTTGTTTGTGTTTTTACTTGGCTTATGATGCTTTCGGCCATGCAAATTTTATCACTTTTATATAAACACATTAATCAATCCTTTTATTGCTTCTGGGATTTGAGTCATAGTTAGAAAGTTTCTTGGTTAAAACTCCTAATTCATAAAGAAACTTCCCCATGTTTTCCTCATTTTATATCTAAATCTATGATCCATTAGGAATATATTCTGGTGTGGGGAATATATATGGTGTGGGAATGGGCTTAATTATATATATTTTTTCATATACCTTCAGGTATCTCAATAACATATATCAAATTCTTCCACTGATTTGAGATGCCACCTTAATCTATACTAAATTTCTATATTCATTTGGGTCTATTTCTGGATTTTCTATTCTGTTTGATTTGTCTATATATGTATGTTCATACTGACACCACATTGTTTTCATTATAGGGGCTTTATAATGTGCTTTAATATCTGGATGTGCTAGTCAAACTCCCAACACTGCAGTTCTTTTTTTTTTTTTTAAGATTTATTTACTTGAGAGAGAGTGTATAAGCAGGGAGAGGGGCAGAGGGAGAGGAAGAGAGAGAATCTTGAGAGACTCCCCACTGAGTGGGAAGTCTGACGTGGGGCTCGATCCCATGACCCATGAGATCACTGAGCTGAAATCACAAGTTGGTCACTTAACCAACTGAGGCACTCAGGTCGCCCCAACACTGCATTTCTTTTCCTGGTTTTTCTTTGCTTGTTTGTTCTTCATGACATTATAATCAACAGCTTCAGAAACCAACATGAGAGTCTCATTGGGGTTGTGCCGTAAATCAACTTAGGGAGGATTGGGTTTTCTATTTCCTCTCCAGTCAGTGTTGACAAGCCGTAATTTTTCCAGAAATTTGCCCATTAATCTCAGTATTCATCTTCTTTGGCATGACATTTTTATAATATTGTCTTTCTATATTTTACATTTCTGCTGATTTGTAGTTTTGTCCTTTTTTCATCCTCTGTGTTGCTTATTTTTTTTCTTATCTTTTTTTCCCATGAGCAATTTTCCAGTGGGTGGGTTATTAATTTTCTTTGAATTTTCAAAAGGTAAACATTTGTCTGTCCTGTGTGTCTGTCTCTTATTTTTCAGTGGGTGTTTCACTCATTCCTTTCCATGTTTTCATGTTTACTGTTACGGGTGCTCAATGTTATAATTTTGCTCCAGGTTTTAGCTTTCTGTCACAGACATTTTGATGTGTTGTGTTTTCTTGGTTGTTATTTTCGAAACACCCCGCAATTTCATTTTATGCTTCTTCATTGACTTAACAGAAGTGTTTACACTTCCAGGTGAAAGGTTCTTTCTTTTTTTATTTGTCATTAATCTTGTACTTTTATGGTATTAAGGTCATTTCACAAATGAGGCCCAGAGAGGTTAAGTGATTTGCCCAAAGTCACACAGTTAGTAAGAGGTGGGGCTGGAATGGAAACTCAAAGTCCATTTCCCTTCCACTGCCCTTCCCTGCCCCTGTGGCTCACGGGTAGATACGCTATTTAATCATTACCAGCACAATTCCAGCAGGTGTCATTATGAGACAGGGAAGCTTAATTGATAAAACTGTAAAGGAAAGGACTATTAAAATTTAATTTCTGTGGGTAGGAAATTAGAATGTCAGTGGTAATAATTAAGTGTGGGGGGGATTTTTCTTGATATAAACTCATATTACTCTTGATCTGGGTTCCCTCAACAGCAGAGCCGGAGAAATGTTTACTTGGGAGTGTAAACCCAGGAAGCAGCAGGAAGGGTCAGAGAAGCAGAGATAAAAGGGAGGGAAGCCGAGTCAAGGATGTGTTACCCAGTTGGCCAGGGGGCCCTGTCTGGTGGGACTCTCTGAGGAGCCTCACGAAATGAGTCTCAGAACTGTCCTCCTGGGGAGGACATGTGCTTGCCAGCTCCTGCCCACCATTGATCAGGGGTAGACCACGCCTCCATCTCCCCACACCTCTGGGTTGGACGGTGTGTGTGGGGGGGTCAGTGCTGATAGGCACCCCCCTCCGCATCACCTGCTACCAGAGACACCCCACTCAGGCTTGAGGTAGGGCTGCTCCCCAGCCCACAAAGCCGATAGAAGTCAGCTAAGAACCACCTGGGTGGAGTAGGAGGGGAGGTGGAGAGGATCGGAAGTGGAAGCCAGAAGTGCCTGATACATGTAGATACTTAAAAAAAATTTTTGATGCAAATCTTCAAAATTGCCAGCCTAGTGGAAAGTATGGATCCTTATTTTGAAAGGAATGATCATTATTATCAAAATGGATATGGGGAGCTTAGAATTTCATTACGACCAGGGAATATGTCATATTTAACTAAGTTTGCTTTGTTTTTGCTTCTGGGTGTGTGTCTGTCAAGGGTGAGAAGTTCAGACCACCAGCAAAGACTTGATTATAAATGATGGAAGAATAAAATGAAAGGATTAAAATCTGTCTTGACAGCAAACTAATCTTGAAACCTAGGAGCTAAGTTATCATAAACACGCTCATTCTTCCCTCAACTAGTTTCTCCTGTTAACCACATGTAGAGACCCACATAAACCGAGGATTCAGTGGCGTTGACACACATTTAAAATAGAATCTCATATTCTATACATTTATCCTGAGGCTAATTATTCTAACTTTCAAATCCCAAGTTAATGTTTAAAAATCTACACATATCTCTGTGGTATTTATGACTCATTTGTACTGTTAATGCAGGCAGGGAAATATATAACGTCCAGCAAATAGCTTAATCCACACTCCACAGACGCATAATTTCCACTCTCCACTCAGAGACTTGATGCAATCTGTCTGATTCTCCCAAAGAAAGAAATGCCCAAGGATCAATTCATCCATATTAAAACAGGGAAAGTTGCTTTTCCCCTGACAGAGCTCCCTGCTGGCTCTGGGGCACTGTGTTGAGATGCTCCACCATATAAATGCAGAGTGCTGTGTTCATCAGCACATGGCCCTTGAAGAAGAATGCGAGAGGGTAGCTCGGAGCTCCTGGGAGACCCTTGGGGTGCCCACCCAAGGGACCCCAGAACACCTGCTGTGCTGGGACTCTCAGGGAATCCTTCTCCCTCTTGGTTTAAACTTAAATTTGTGTCTTTCCTTGTTTCACAAGATAATGTTTTTGCTGTTCTGAACGTTTTGAGGAAGAGCTCCCATGCGACCCAACACAGGCTTGAGTTCAGGAACATACGTGGACTCCAGGGTACATTTAAAAGCGGATGGAAGCTTTCCTTTTCCCTGGCTAGTGTCCCTGTGGAAAATCACAGAAGCCCCAACTGCGAACATCCTTTAGAGGGAAAATGTCATCACTGTTATTATTAATATTACTGCAATAATCGCTTCTTAAGAACTTGGTCTTTCATGGAAACCACTGAGTAAATGAGAGGCTCACAGGGGAAAATGAAAACCTCTGGGCTGCCTTTGACATGTAGCTGCTGAGCTTGGTGAAATCGGCGAAAAGCCTATGGAAGACCTTGTCCCACCCCCGTCCTCCACCAGTCACCCCATCAGCTTCATCCGGAGATGATCGAAACAGCACAGCCAACCTCCAAACACCTCTGGAAGCGACCATCCTAGGACTGAAAGGGTAACAGTGCCTCGTTAAGTCTCCGGGTGACACTCACTTATTGACTCATGTATGTCATAGTTCAGATGAATAAGACTTTCCTGGATTAAGTCAAATATAACTCAATTGCCCGGCAAGGAGGAGCAATTTTCATTTACAGAAAACTATTACGACCCATAAAACTCTTTACCCGTGATGCTCACCAATTACTGGTGACCCAGGATGGGCAGTCGCATGCTTCCTGCGTGCCCATTGCCACACGGGCGGCCAGCCTTCCCCCCTCCGCGGCATGGAGCCCGCAAGCTGGACATTGCTCATCTCTCAACAGCTTTCTGATCGTAACGAAGGCTCTTTCTTCTCGTCACACTAATGAATGATGCCGGTCGTTCAGAAGATGTGTGCATTCGTTTCAAAGGTCTGAGTAACAACCAATAGAAGTTTGACTTTATGAAAGCATTGATTCTCACCAGTACTGTTCCCCAGACCCAGTATTGCAAAAACGGGGATTGTTTTTCTGTGCTGTGTTTTAGGAGACAAATTGAAATGCTTATGTGATCATTCCAATAAAGGCATCCTCGTTTCTTTCCCCCATAGGAACTTGGATGGGAGAAACCTAATCCTGTACCTGATTTGCTTAGCACCCCTGACCGGAGAAATCTCCCAGCCACCAAGATTGGGGTGCCACTCACCAACTTCCCCTGTACTCTTGGATCTTGCCAAGCGATCTCCATCATGCTCACCTGCCCAGCCCCCCAGCAAGGACTATTTCTGTCTCCCCTCTCTCAGACACCCAGCTGCCCTCCTTCCCATTTGATTTTAGCAGGAGACTTGGTTTCCTATTTTATACAGCAAATGGTGGCCAACAGATGCTCTCTGCTACCAGTCATCAAGCCCACAAACCCCTTTGTATTTTCTTCTATCTTTTCCTCCTTTCCATCCTCCTATCCAAGGTCAAGTTCTCTGCACACTGACCTATGGCCCCTCCTTCTCTAAGCTCTCCCTCTCTTATCATCGACTTTTCTTACACCCTCAACATCTCCTTCTATTGCCCCTGTGGACCCGGGACGCCAGCGCTCCCCCAGCTCGTCCCCATCTCTTTCCTTCACTGCCTGACTGCTTGGCTTTGGTTAGATGGATGTAAAAAACACCCTGGGGACAGCAGAGTGACTTGTAGGAGGAGCTCAGTCAAAGGATGACCTCATGGAACAGAACCACCCACCTAAGGGGTGCTGGGCTTCACATGAGAGAGAATTAGCCCTCCCATGTTGTCCGAGCCACTGTGATCCATGCAAAAGCAGCCGAACTTGTATCTTAACTAAATATTGTCTACCCTCACTTCCACGGACCCCTCAGCCCACGGCAGTCAAGCTTTGCCCACCTGTCCTCAAGGTACACACTGAAACCATCAGTAGATGCAGTGGGCACGTATCAGTCCCTGGCCTCCCAGCAGGTTCTGACCCTGCTGCCCGGAGTCTCCCACTGGCCATCACCTCTCCCTGCGGCTCTGCCTTGGATTCTCCACGCCTTCCTCCAGGCTCTGGGCTGCCCCTCATTGTTGTCCGCTCCTCTCTCCCCCTCCTCTTCCCTCCCGTTCTCACCGCACACCCTCCCAGGGTAGTGGTCCCTGCTGCCATGCGTTCAACTGCAGAGACAACGCTCTGGCCAATTTATACCACAGTGGAATTTATTAGAAGGACATGGAGTAGCCCGTAGGATAAAGTCAGAGGGGAAGAACCAGACTCAGAACAAGAGCAGAGATGTAGGAACAGGAACAAAGTGACGATTTCCCTAGGCCGTTCCTTCTGAGGCAACATAGCTCCGGCCATTTGAAACTTTGGTGTAATCCTGCTAGAGATTCCAATTTCAGGGAGAAAGTATTTGACTGATCTGACTTATGTCATGCATCCAGCCCTTTGCAGGGGAAGGAGGAACATTTTAACTGACAGTTTTTTCAAGACTGTATCCAATAAGAGAGGACTAAGTTCCCAACCAGTGTTAGCATGCTGCATCAGAAGGGGGAAGAAGGAATACCAGGGGGGCTCCTGGGTGACGCATCGGTGAAGGGTCCCACTCTTGATTTCAGCTCAGGTCATGATCTCGGGGTCGTGAGATCAAGCCCCACCATGGCCTCTGCAATGGGCGTGGAGCCTGCTTAAGATTCTCTCTCTCCCTCTCCCTCTGCCCCTCAACCCCCACTCACACTCTCTCTCAAAAAAAAAAAAAAAAAAGAAAGAAAAAAGCATGAATGCCAAGCCGGCAGCAAGACAGTCATTCTAGTCCACTCCCTGACTGCCTAATGCCCACACACCCTGCTGTATATACAAATAACTCCAGATATGCCTGAAATAGAATACAATTACTATCTATGCAAATGGAAATCACCCAGCTCCCAATAACTCATACACAAATGTATCCAGCTTCAAACTCAGGATCTGCAGGAAAGTCTGCTCTTCTTCTGGTTCTACCACGATCTCATGTGGACATAATGCAAACTTTGGATTAAAGGTTAAACTTAGCCCCTAAAACCTATAACACACGTAACCGTAAAGCAAAGAAAAAAAGAGGTCAGTTAACTAGAAACCAACACACACACATATGGGCACACAGACACACTCCTGTTCTTCCTTCCCCCGGCACCTTCCCCCGGCTGGCTCCCCATTCTGAGCTGGTTGGGGGGACTCAGACCTTCACTGTGGCAGATCAGATCCTGTGGTCATGTCGTCCTTCTAGATGGACTAAGTTATTTTTTTCCATTAGACCCTCTGGGCACACAATGCCTCGAGCCGACGAGCATTATTTATTTATTTATTTTTATTTTTTAAGATTTTTTAATTTATTTGACAGAGAGAGACACAGCGAGAGAGGGAACACAAGCAGGGGGAGTGGGAGAGGGAGAAGCAGGCTTCCCGCAGAGCAGGGAGCCCGATGTGGGGCTCGATCCCAGGACCCTGGGATCATGACCTGAGACGAAGGCAGACGCTTAACGACTGAGCCACCCAGGCACCCCTATTTATTTATTTTTCAAGATTTTATTTATTTATTTGACAGAGAGCACAAGCAGGGGGAGCAGCAGGCAGAGGGAGAGGGAGAAGAAGGCTCCCCACTGAGCAGAGAGCCCGATCTGGGGCTCGATCCCAGGACCCTGAGATCATGACCTGAGCCGGAGGCAGATGCTTAATCGACTGAGCCACCCAGGAGCCCCGAGCCTACAAACATTTCAAGCATCTTTGGACATGATTAAAATTTGAAAGAAATATTGGCCACAAAAAAGACGGAGAAGACAGAACATCAAATGAATAATAATGTCAAAAGCAAAATTGTAAAACCCTCTTCAGAAATTTAATAGCAAATATACGTAATGTGGGATGAGTGCATGATGGGAGGCAGTGGGGCCTCCAGTAGCAGGAGTGTGGAGACTGCCCTGTGCAGGGCTGCGCCCCCCCATCAGTGTTTGCCTCTGGCAGGGGGAAGAGTTTTAGCTCGCAGACTCAGGGCCACAAGCCCCCCCACCCCCACACTTGTGGCAGCAACCTGATTCCCCTCAACAGGATCCATCATTTCAGCCAATATTAGAAACCTGCCCACTTTGGGAGGGGGAAATCTATTTGTCCAAAGGCATAAGATGTCAAAAATCGCCTGGGAGAGTCTCAGGGTAGAACCATTACTGTGTCTGGAAACTAAAACCCGTAAACCAACAGAGCCATGGCCACAGAGGGGATAGGAAGAAAACATGGGGTGCCACCAAGAGAGGCATCACTCCCACCTCCATCCTGGGGTCCCCAGACATACATATTTCAGCCACAAGGAGAAAAGCATCGAGCATGGACCTCTGGATGGGGGTTGGACGTCCTACCTCCTGAAGGATAGAGAGCTTCATAGGCTCTTGACTCCCAACTCACAATGCCATGTCTGAGCTTCAGAGGATCATTTCCCCATCCGTATCAGTCAGGAATCTCCAGAGAAACAGAACCTTTATATATAAATATAAATATAAATATAAATATAAATATAAATATAAATATAAATATCTCCTCTCTCTCTCTCTCTTATCTTATTATAAGGCGTTGGCTCACTGAGAAGTCCCAAGATTTCAGTCAGCAAGCCAGAGCCCCAGGAGAGCTGATGGTGAAATTTTCAGTCCATATGCCAGCAGGCTCAAGACCCAGGAAAAGCCAATGTTTCAGTTTGAGTCCAAAGGCTGGAAAAAGACCAATGTCCCAGGTCAAGGCCATCAGGCAGGAGAAGTTCCCTCTTATTCATGAGTGTCAGCATTTCTGTTCTCTTCAGGCCCTCAACTGATTAGATAGGGCCCACCCACATTGGGGAGGGCACTCTTCCTTCCTCAGTCTACTGATTCCAATGTTAATCTCATCCAGAAACAGCCCTTACAGACACACCCAGAATAACGTTTGACCAAATAACCGGGCACACCATGGGCCATCCAAGTTGACATGTAAAATAAACCATCACAGCATCTTAGAGAGCCACCAGCGACTCCTGACGGTAGGAGGGTGGGCCGTGAACTCTGAGGGTCAGAGCCACTGAACTGTAGCCTGGCCCTGCTCAAGAGCCTTCTCTCACTCTCCAAGCTGGTGGCTTTTTGAGTCACCCAGTAAATCGGCAAGAACAGGTCATCCACATATGCCATAGGTAGCTTCCAAAACCCAAGCATGTGCATCTTCCATATCTGATGGCAGGGGACCCGAAGCGCAGCAGCCATCCCTTCACATTGGAGGGGAAGTCCCAGCATGTGCCAGACCCCCAGACCCGCAGAAATTTCACAGAAGTGGGGACCCTTGCACCTTCACAGGGCTTAACCTTCCACCTGCAGACATGCATGTTTCTCAACAAGTTCCCTGTGACACCTGCCACCTCCTACAGTCTAAACAGGGAAAGTCAGCGTTATGGCTGTTTGCCTTCCATGCCCCCCCCCCCGCCCCCACCAACCATCAGTGAGTTCAAGATAGTACTTTGTAACACAGGATGCAAGGACTATATTACAAGGCACACTTATCATAAGGGAAAAACTGGACGGGCACCGTGAGCAAGAAGAAAAATCAGCTTCATTATTTTATAGCTGGAGATTTAAAATATGTATGCCTCATGTTTATGGGGCTTTTGAGAAGCCTTTTGTTCTGTCCCATTGACTTGAGTTAATGAGGGTAATGAACTTGGAAACCGAAAAGAATTACTGCCTGGGCAGCTCTTCCAGGTTCCCGACGTTTCTTTTCATGTGGTCTATTTCCTGGTGGCAATAACATTTGTTTACCTTGAAAATGAGAGAAGACACTTTTATGGCAGCATGTCTCCATGGCGCCTCGATATTCGCTCACGAAGCTCCGCACAACCCGTTTCTGTGCGGAGCCCGGGAACGTGGTGAAAGCAGCGGACTCGAACAGAAGCAACATTCAGTCGTTGAAAGGGGAAAGGGACAGATTTATGCCCGTCCCACTTGTCCTCCAGAATGCAAAGGGTAATAATAGTCCCAGGACAGAAGTTTCTAGTGCAGTGCACTGAATATTTTGTCTGGGTTTTGAGGTTAGGAGTTTGGGAACATTAGCTCCTGTGATGTGATTCTGGCAGTCAATGCACCTGCATTTTTAACACTTCTAATGTTTCATCTATGAATATTTCCCCCCTTCTTGCAATAAGCCAAGTTGTTATGAATGATCATATGTTAAACCTTTCCCGATCTCCACTGTCCAGATCTTGTGAAAAAAGCAAAAAATGTTCTCAAGGCAGGATGGGAAACAAAATTTCAAATACAGGCTCCATGTTGATACCATTGTACTAATACTACACGGCTGTCAGTCGCCCTCCATCCCCAGAGAAACACGGAGATCATGATGGGCACCTTCAATCCACGTTTGCCCAGGGCCAAGCAGCAACTGTCTTGTTCGATTCCTGGGAAGAGTTTGAAAATGTTAATTTTTGTGATGAGTATATTTTTAGAGGTTGTAATAAAAACAAAATAAAATCTCTTAGGTTTTCTGCTTACTTCATTTTCAAGAGGGATATGCTAGAAGGATCGAGCTCCTTTAGAAGTCCGAAGGGCTCTGGTTTCCAAAATAGTTTACAGCTGAGACAATAAAGTTTCTGGGGAACACATCGGAGTACCCACTGGATAAATCTTGAGCAGTACCTAGCAGTGGATAACATTTTTTAGAAGGGAGACAGGCGGTCTTTTTTTTTTAAAGAATAAAGTGGAAAATCCCTCCGTTCTGACTAGAAAAGCCAGCAGCACATAGACGTTCCCCATTTTGTGTGGCAGCTATAATTCTTCCCATTTTTGTCTCCTTTCTCATGTTGAAAAAGGAGTTAAGGAAGGCCAGGAAGGATAGAAAGGAAAATTGATGTCTTTTCTCTGATTAGTTGGGGGCAATTTGAGAAGAATATTCTCACTAAAGAAGAAAAGTTACTGGCAGATTAAAGAAGCGGGCAAAGGCGGATCGTAGCAACAGGACCCCCAGAACAGCATCCTCGGAGGAGGGCACAGAACGAAATACTCTGGCCAAGACTCCGTGAGCTCAACTGGCAGAAATTAAGCGTGAACGTAGGGAAAGCACAGTGTCCATTTGTCTTAAAATCTGTTGAAACAGTTGGCAAATGTTTTACTATGAGAAATCTCGAACACATATAAAAATAAGAGAGGAGTGTCTCAATCCTCATGTGCCCATCGCGAGGCTTCCACAACCCTCAATGCCTTCCCCTCCATCACGTGATGCGACTCCCAGGTATTATGTCATCAGTAAATTTTTCAGTGTATATCTCTAAAGGATAAAGACCTTTTAAAAAAAATTACTGCATTGGGGCGCCTGGGTGGCTCAGTTGGTTAAGTGACTGCCTTCGGCTCAGGTCATGATCCTGGAGTCCCAGGATCGAGTCCCGCATCGGGCTCCCTGCTCAGCAGGGAGTCTGCTTCTCCCTCTGACCCTCCTCCCTCTCATGCTCTCTGTCTCTCATTCTCTCTGTCTCAAATAAATAAATAAAATCTAAAAAAAAAAAAAATTACTGCATTATCACACCAAATAATTAACCAGAATCCCTGGTTATATATTATCTATTATATAATAGATATATTATATATATCTCAGATCTTACCATTGGTTCATTTGAAGCAGGATTTTCACATAAGAGCCACACAGTGCCATTGGTCTCTTAAAAATGGGCACGGTTTTTGGGGAGTGGATTGGGGTGGCTTATACAAAACACGGTATGTGGGCATCATTGTACACTATTGCAGGAACTTGGTTCTCTGCATGGATTCTTGGGTGAATGGGTCAGAGGTGACATGGTTCTTGGGCTCCAAGGCTCAGGGAAGGTGGCTAAATAAATATTTTATTTATTTATTTGAGAGAGCATGAGGGGGGATGGGCAGAGGGGGAGGGAGAGGGACAAGCAGACTCCATGCTGAGCATGGAGCCTGATGTGGGGCTCGATTCCAGGACCCAAGCCAAAACCAAGAGTCAGATGCTTGACCGACTGAGCCACCCAGGTGCCCCTGAATACATTTTTTAAAAGTTCTATTGGATTATGGTTTGGACTCAAATTCCAAGTCCAGAGTACTTGGCCAAAGCTTGTGGTGTTGTATGTGGGTGAGGAGTGGAGGCACCAGGCCAGAGGGAAACTCCCCGATTACCATCTTACGTGACCCTGGAGAAGTCACTTAATCTCCTAGGGCTTGTCCTCATCCGGCAGGGGATCTGGGGAGGACTGCATGAATTAGCACACGCGAAGTGCCTTGTACCTACCAGACAGAAGCGTTGGGTGCCGTGACGGGCTCGCCAACTGCCCAGGTGTGGCATGGCCTCCCACCCCTGCCTGCTGCTGGAAGGGCCACCTGCTTACTTTCCGGAAACTTACCAAGCTCATGTCTTTCCTCGAAACCTGATCGTCCTCCCCAGTGTCCGTCCCAGCCTCTGGCTGTTCTCATTGTCAACATTCCAAAATCTCACTTACCTTCCATTCTCTTCCTTCTCTTGACTTTGTCCATTACAGCTCAGTGGAGAGCCTGCTTCTCCCCCTGCTTGTGTGCTCTCTCTCTCTGTCAAATGAATAAATAAAATCTTAAAAAAAAAAAAAAAAAAGAATAAAATGCTCAAATATCCCTGATCTCATGCTTATACTTTGTTGCTAAGGAAGACAAATAATAAACTAACTACCTGAAGAGTATAATATAGAGAGAGGTACCAAGTCTACTATTATGTAGCATAATATAATGTATGATGTGATAAGTTCCATGGAAAGATGGATCAGGGAGGGGCTGGGCAGTGCTGGGGTAGGGGAGAAGGTTTATCATTTTAAATGGATATGAAACAGATGTGGCCCAGATTTTTTAGTTTTATTGGATAAGGGAGGGAGTTTAGACTACTCCAGGTATAAGAGGAGCCACTGACGAGTATAAGCAGGGGAACTATGACCTCTGATTTGCTGTTTTAAGGGTCGCCTTGGCTGCAGAGCAAGGAATGGATCATAGCGGGGAAAGCAAGGAGTCAAAGGCTGTTAGGAGACCACTGTGCCTGCCCAGGAGAGAGGCCAGATGGAGACGGAGATGGAGAAAAGCGCCCTATTCTGAAGAATGGAGGGGAAATGAGCATATTTTCGAAGGAGAACTGACAGGGGTTTTGGATGGATTCATTGTGGAGTGTGAGAGAGAAGAATCCAAGATGACACCTGGATTTTGGACGTGAACCACTGGGTAAATGGTGATACCACTGACTGAGGGGGAACAAGTCTACATTGAGACCGACCATGTTGTTTATGATTTACAGATTTCATGTAAACAAACGTCTCTCTATTTACAAGTGAGAGCCATATTTCATTATAATCTGCCCAGATGTGGAAGCCTTCCTTCTCCCTGGCATTTCTCTGCATTGTGTCCAGTTCTTACCTCCACGAATGTATGTATCTGTGTGTGTAGATGCAGGACGCAGATCCAAAAACTGTGATAATGTCACAGTAATAGAAATATATAATCATAAATATACGAATAATAGAAACATGTAAATCCCAATATAAAACTTATAGTACGTATAATATATAACATTTTATGAAATATATAAAAATTTTAAATATGCGTTTTAAATCTCAAATATATATATTTTTATAAAATGGTTACGAACTGATAAGTTGTAACATAGATCATTCATCAGATTGGTCTGGTAATATCAAAATCATTTGTTATGTTTGGAAATTGCCGGTACAATTTTTGTTTGTTTTTTAGGCATGCCTATAACTAGGCATATGACACCACCAGTAGGACCAGCAGGTCCGAGTTCTGGGCTGTCACTGGACATGAGGAATGACACTGTCGGGAAAAATTGTAAGAAATTGGAAATGGGCAAGAAGAGAATACTGGTGTCTCCAGTCCTTCTGGCTTATACGCACCCTTGTTTTTGAGCTAGTTCGCAGCTTTGTATGTTGTAGAAACTGATAGTAATATAATTGATCTTTGTGCACAGAAATGCAAATGAATATCTCCTATGGAGATATGATAGACCATTGCCTTGGTTATATTGACCTGTTTTGCATCAATTTGCCCTTTTATTTATTTCAGCATTTTTTATTTTCTACATAGTGTGTTTTCTGAATTCTCCTTTGAGCGGATTGTAACATCTTACTGGTTTCTTCATAAGTTAATCAGTTAAATAAACTCTGACAGGGATTCATCTAATATTTGTATGAGTTAAGCTGATTTACCATTTAAAAAATTATTGTTAACAGCATCAAATTTTTCCAAAGATTTCTAGTAAGGGGATAGTTATTAGATTATCTGTAGTCTCCATAACTAGAGATTTTTCTCTTAACATCAATGATATTGATGCTGAATCCTCTCTCAACTTCTACTGAACTAACAGCAATTACATTACAATTGTTTCTAGCTACCTTTAACTGCCTGAGATTTTTTAAAAATTCAACATTTTTGTCATAAACATTTTCTTGAAATGTCATTTTAATTAACTGGCTTAATTTATTAATTTTTTCTTCATCCTCGATCCATAAACTCTGGAAACCTCACGGGCCAAGTTTCAGGATTCGGTAAGTTGGAATAACTCAAAAGTTTCCAAGTTTTTTCATACTTTGTTCTTAAATGACATATATTCACATACAATTTCATAAACAGGCTAGTAGTTCTAATCTTGAAATTGATAAAGTTTTCCCAAATTGTTATACATCATTTTCTTGTTCCTATCATGTCTTTTTCCTCCTTTTCATAGATTCATCTACAACTAAGTTCAAGCAATTTATCATTCACTGCATTCATGTTGACTTTAATAGTTGAAACACTTCTTTTTATAAAGCTAAGAAGAACAGTGAGTTCTTTTTATGAAATCATTTATTAAAGTACCATATCTAAATGATTTTTTGTTTTCCAGACTGTTTATTTCTATGTCATCCTTTATTAAAGTACCATATCTAAATGATTTTTTGTTTTCCAGACTGTTTACTTCCATTTTGCAATTTATTAAGATTAACCTTCAACGGGGCGCCTGGGTGGCTCAGTCATTGAGCATCTGCCTTCGGCTTGGGTCATGATCCCAGTGTCCTGGGATCAAGCCCCACATCGGGCTCCCTGCTCAGCGGGAAGCCTGCTTCTCCCTCTCCCACTCCCCCTGCTTGTGTTCCCTCTCTAGCTGTCTCTCTCTGTCAAATAAATGAATAAAATCTTTAAAAATATGGGGTGGGAGGGATGGGGGGACTGGGTGATAGACACTGGGGAGTGTATGTGCTCTGGTAAGCGCTGTGAATTGTGCAAGACTGTTGAATCTCAGATCTGTACCTCTGAAACAAATAATGCAATATATGTTAAGAAAAAAAAAAAAAGAAGAAGAAGAAGAAGGTAGCAGGAGGGGAAGAATGAAGCGGGGGAAATCGGAGGGGTAGACGAACCATGAGAGACGATGGACTCTGAAAAACAAACAGGGTTCTAGAGGGGAGGGGGGTGGGAGGATGGGTTAGCCTGGTGGTGGGTATTTAGGAGGGCACATTCTGCATGGAGCACTGGGTGTTGTGCACAAACAATGAATCATGGAACACTTCATCTAAAACTAATGTTGTAATGTAAGGGGATTAACATAAGAATAAAAAAATTAAAAAAAAAAAATCTTTAAAAATAAAAAAAAGATTAACTTTTAAAGCTTACTATGATCTCCTGCTGGCTCTTGCAACTCCAGTAGGTCCAAATATTCCTCCAGCTTTCATTTTTTCTATTCCTACCTTTTCAGACACATTATTTGATTTTTTTTATAGTCATTCAATACGGGGTAGGAAATAGTTAAAGTAAGGCACTTGCTGTGAATCTTTCATCATAATGGTCCCAAATAATTAAAAAATGTCTATGAAACAAGGAGTTTCTTCGTGTGTTTTTAAAAATGGATCGTAAAATACATCCAATCAACCCATTCAGATGCCACTGGATATCGTCAAAAGAGTAATGCAAGAGGTGTGTTTTCAAATGTCTGTATTTATAATGCCCTAGAGATGACCTCTTCAGCTTGTTAAACTTAACATGAGCTATTTCAGATGTCAAATTAAAAATATCGGAGGGGGACATAGTTTTACAAAATCCCATTAAAGGGCGCCTGGGTGGCTCAGTCAGTGAAGCCTCTGCCTTCGGCTCAGGTCATGATCCCAGAGTCCTGGGATCGAGCCCCGCGTGGGGCTCCCTGCTCAGCGGGGAGTCTGCTTCTCCCTCTACCCCTCCCCTCTGCTTGTGCTCTCTCTCTCTCACGTTCTCTCGCTCTCTCTCTTAAAAAAATAAATAAATAAATAAAATCTTTAAAAAAAATAAAACACCAAAATCCCATTAAGGAGAATATGAACAAATGTGTGGAAGCCCACAGCAGTACACCATTCTTCATAAGGATATTTTATGATTTATTTGACCTGCTGATGGATGTCCAGGTTCTAGGAAGTTCTTCGCTGTCATCACCAATGATGCAACAAATATCTGCGCGTTCACATGCCCCTGGGCAGAAATTTCTCCAGGCTTACACTGTAAGTGGGATTTCAGGGTGAAAGAAACGAGCATTTTTAACTTCACCTGGTATTTTCTTCTACTCCCAAAAGGGATTTGCAATCCCTCCACAGTGTCTCAGCACCCCTGATTCTCCACGTCCTCGGAGACACTCGGCCGCCTCAGACTTCTTGATCTTTGCACATCGGGTAGGTCTGCAGTGATACTGCATTGCTGGTCTTCCTCTGATTACCAGGCGTGGTGCCAGGCAGTTAGAAAGGGACCTGGCCCCATCTTAGAGGTCACTGCTGAGTGAAGGGAGGCAAGTCCAGGATAACTTCCGGGGACACCCACCCGTGTTGAGCTCATTGTACTTTCCTGTCCCTGGTACAGAGAGTCCTCCCCAGGTGTATGTGGTAGAAATTATCTGGAAGCCACTCTCCTTGTATTCTGGAAAAGCCTGAACTCACTGGGGAGACAGAACTGGCTGTCCCTGATTGGGAAGAGTTCCCTGAGACTGGTCAGAGGATTGTGAGCAAGTCCATTCCTCCTGGAGGCAGCTTGGGCACTGGGGCTCCAGTCTGGGGCAAGTTGCCAGGGTCCAGGAGTGGCCAGGAGCAGAGTGGGTAGAGGCAAGGGGGACTGGAGTTACAGTGCCCTCAGATGACTCTGCCTGAGCACTGTGACAGGATGGGGGAGCATCAGGAGCCCCAAGAATGAATGACATTAACTTTCCTGCTTCCCTGGCAGGATGGAGGCTTGGCGTCAAATCTGATTGAAGAGGAAGAGGGAAATGGATATTTCCGTGCACCTGCGAGTGTAGGTAAGTCACATGGTAAACCAGCAGTCTCCATGCGTTGTAAATGTGTGACTCTACAGGGGAACAGAGTTCGTGGACAACACATGGGCACTCAACTCATTGGAGGGGGGCGTGTCCCTGAAGGGGGAGGAGGAACTAGACCAGAGGGTCAAGTTAAGGAAATTGGGCTGCTCTTCAGAGTAATAAATGAAGGGATATCAAAGAGTTGTTTTCTTTCTTTAAGGAATGTGACATGAGTAAATTTGCATTCATGAAAGATTATCCCCCCTGCAGTGAGGACAATGGATGAGAGGGCAAAGGACTGGAGTGAGCCAGGGAGACTTGGCAATGATGCAGGTGACAAAAGATGGTGGCCTGGACAATGGGAGGTGATCAGGACAGAATCCCAAGGCCTGATGGGGGGCAGGGCTGGGAAGCCAGGCCACAGGCTCCAGAGGAGGAGCCCAGGGAAGAGCAGGTGCAGCTGGGTGGGTGAGGAGATGACAGTTCTGTTGGGGCACATTCCATTCAGGAGCCTTGGACTGCAGGGACCTCACAGCATGTGAGGGACCCGGTCTGAAGCTCATGAGCAGGACCAGGCACTGACAACTTAGTTTAAGGGTCACCAGGCTGTGTGATAATAAGTAAAGCTTTGGGGGCGATGACGTCATCCCGGGAGAGTGAGAAGGAAAGGAGGTCTGGGACAAGCATGGCTGTTTACATAGTTTTAAGATATAATCAAGTTCCATTTTGCATGGGCTGCCTCTACCTTCTTTTTTTTTTTTTTTAAAGATTTTATTTATTTATTTGACAGATAAATTGAGAGCACAAGTAGGCAGAGTGGCAGGCAGAGGGAGAGGGAGAAGCAGGCTCTCCGCTGAGCAGGGAGCTGGATGCGGGGCTCGATCCCAGGATCCCAGGATCATGACCTGAGCCGAAGGCAGCCGCTTAACCAACTGAGTCACCCAGGTGCCCCCTGCCTCTACCTTCTTATTGCCATCCCCAACACTATATTTATAGTCCTTTCCCCCAGCTTTATCTTACAGAGCATATCATATAAAAATGGCTACTCCAGCAGCTAGTACCCTCTTTCTGTTATCATGAACATCCTTACAAGTCCTAGAAAAATCAAATTCCGAGCTCCAATAGCCACATGCACTGCTGTTATGAATTCCCGGCTACCTGTTGTTTCAGTCATGAGACTCTTTGCTCATGGGTAGCTTATAAAGTTCCTAATTAAATGGGAATGAGAAAATACATTTATTATTTATTTATAAGCAAACAGCCTTTGATAATGAAGCTAGGCATCTTGATGACATGCACTGACATGATCTTTTCAAATCTGGGCTCACCAGGAATGGCTATAAAGAAATGGGATTGGGATCAACTGCTTTTACAAACACACCAGAAATTACATATTCAAAAGGTGTTTTCCTCTTCAAAGCAGGAGATTTTAGTCAAATGATTACACCCTTTGAAAGGACATGATTAAAATTCCTTTTGGGGGCAAGACTCTCCTGACTATCTGCCCCAGGGGCTCATGCATCTCTTTGGAGGAGGATGAGGGGGCTTGAATTTTAGAATCAGCCAAGTTGTCATTTGGAGCCAAGTTTGATGAGTAAGAGGAAAGACTGAGCCAAGTAATATCAGATCAACAAACTTGCAGTATCCCCTCCCCCACTCGAACCTGCTCCTCCCCAATTCTCGCCCACTCATGAAGAGCATCACCCTCCACCAGCCTGAAAACTAACTTCTTTAAAGCATTTATTTATACTTTAAACCTATTTGCACCAAATTCACCCCCAGTCCAGTCAGGTTTTTTCTCTAACCTACTTTCTAGAACTTTCCATCACCTCCTTCTTGTTGCACCATCCTAAAGCAGGGGCCACCACCTTCCAGTGAGGTTCTTGACTCCACTGCCTCCATCCCATCCACATCCCGCACACAGCCTTCTTCTTACAAGGCCTGTCCGGCCAGTGCCTCCTTGGCACCCTCTCCCAGCTCCCACTGCCATCATTAACAGCCAGACATGTTCCCGGGCCACTGCCAATGCTGTTCTGTCCGCCCTGGGACCCTCTTCTCCCATCCTCTGTGTACCTGGCTCCTACAGATCGATATTCGTTTCCTGGGGCTGTTGTCACGAAGGACCACAAACCGGGTGGTTCAAAACAACAGAAGGGTCTCACAATTCGGGCAACCAGAAGTCCAAAACCAAGGTGTCAGCAGCACTGTGTTCCCTCTGAGCACCGTAGGGGTGGATCCTTGTTTGCTTCTTCTAGCTTTTGGTGTCGCCAGCAGAGCTTGGTATTCCCAGGCCTGCAGATGCATCGCTCCAGACCCTGCCTCCGTCTTCAGAGGTGTTTTCCTCTGCGTTTGTCTCTCTTCTTCTAAGGCCGCCGGTCACGTCAGATGAAGGGTCCGCCCTAGTCCGGTATCACCTCATCTTAACCAACTACATCTGCAATGACCCCATTTCCAAATAAGGTCACACTCACGGGTACTGGGGGTTAGGACTTTGACATATCTTTGGAGGAGGGTGGGACCATAATTCAACCCATCACAGCAGCCTTTACGTCTCGGGTAGACGCACGCCCTCCTCTAAGATGACTGAGCCAACCAGGGCGGTTCATCTTCAGCTCAGCCCCTGGCTGGTGTCTTTGGCCAAACTTCCCTCATCTTAGATAAACTTGTATATTCTGTTGACTTGGCGTCTGTCTCTCACTCGAGTGCTGGATCCATGCACCCACTGTTCCTCCAGAGCCTGGGAAAGTACAGACACAGAGTAGATGCTCCAGAAACTTTTATTAATTGACCTTCAAACTGAGTTGCAGGCTGGAGGGAGTAGCAGAAGCACGATATCGGATGACATAAAGTCCCAAGACTGTAACCTACATCCATCTCCTGTCCTCTTCAGTGATTTCAAAGCTATTATTTCACGCAATTCGCCTGAAGCAGCCCAGCAAGATAGGCCAGGCAAGTCTAAATATCCCTATTTTTACAGAAAAGAGCACAGAAACCAAGCTTATACTGAAAGGAAATGCCACGGTTAAGACAGGACCGCAGATTGCTAGACCTGGAGGGGAATTTCATCAGACATCGGGCCTGATCTCATTTTACGCATGAGAAAACAGGATGGAGAAGTGACATGATTCACTTACTGCATCTTAGCTGCTTACTAGGAGAGCCAAAATTAGATTCCGAGTCCTTCCGTTTCTAATCAAATTCCAAGAAAATAACTCCAAATTCTTAGAGAATAGCAGGGTCGCTGCAGTAAATTAATGTGTGACCCCCCCATGATGATGCAGTAGGACGACACTCATTTGGAATCTGTGGCGTCGGACCGCTCGGGTGGGAATCTGGACTCCACCCCTTCGGGGTTTGGTAAACTTGAGGGACCTCAGAAATTGATTAAAGCATCCATGATTAATGGGATGTCTATCCTGGTTGAACCTACTTTTTATTTTTTATTTATTTTTTTTATTTTTTATTTTTTTTAAAGATTTTATTTATTTTTTAGAAAGCGAGTGAGAGAGAAACAGCATGAGAGGGGAGAGGGTCAGAGGGAGAAGCAGGCTCCCTGCTGAGCCGGGATCCCGATGTGGGACTTGATCCCAGGACTCTGGGATCATGACCTGAGCCGAAGGCAGAGGCTTAACCATCTGAGCCACCCAGGCACCCAGGTGAACCTACTTTTTAAAAGAGAATGCCTGGATAAAAAAAAAAGAGAGAGAATGCCTGGAAATCTTTAGCCCCCAGGCACAAATCTCCACCGTTGGTGCATCACATTAACCACCTGACACAAAGTAAGCACTCAATAAATAATGGAACTCAGGTGTAGTTGACCTTGGATGTGGGGGAGGTTCTGGAGCAAGAGGGACAGTCCCGAAATTCCTCAGTTCATTCTACAGATGTGATGCCTTACCCATTCCCCACACGTCTAAGGTTTTCATAGCCCTGAAGACTTGTTTTGGGGAAATCTGGCAAAATTATAATGATAGGGTAATAAGCTCCATTATTTTCAGTTTTCAGGGAGTTAGAGTGGATCGTTCCAATGAAATCACTGGCCAACACGTTGCTGTGGCCAAAAGCCCATAAAACACATGAAGGATTTCAGCAAAGCTGAAAATATGTCCCCACTTTTGTCTACAACCTAGGATACCATATGCATTTTTAATTATTTTATGTCAAGAAAATATCTTGAAGAAGAACCATTGAAATAATCAGGAGAACGAGAGGCTGATATTGGGTTAGAATAAGAAGGTTAGGATCTTTTTTTTTTCTGCCTAGAAAGAGGACAGCTGCAGGGAAAAATAGAGAATAATTTCTTGATGGATTTTGTGTTCATTAGACAAATGTATCAAATGCCTACTTGGTCTAGGCACGTCTAGGTGCTGGAATTTACCAACACGCAAGACAGACCAAGCCCTGTCCTTGTGGGGTCACTGGATATTAATATATATTTGTTTTTTTCCAAATTTTGGAAAATTACGTTGAAAGATGATCATATGAAGCCCGGAAGGGGTATATTTAGAACAAACAGAAGAACCCATGCGCAATGCCCAGGACTCTAGCGGTACCTGATGCATAATTGGTGATTTTATCTAACAAAAGAAGTGCTGATGTCCTTAATATCCTTATTCTATGTGACATTAAAACTCCAAGAAAACTCCAGAAAAAGTAGGCAAAGGACAGCAGGCAACTGAGAAAGAAGAGATAGAAATGACCAATTGAATTAAATGCAAATTAAAACCTAACAGTGCAGAGTTGTTAGTTTTAAGAGTTGGTAGCTACTAGGGTAGAAAAGGCTAAGAGGGGCGCCTGGGTGGCTCAGTTGGTTGAGTGACTGCCTTTGGCTCAGGTCATGATCCTAGAGTCCCGGGATCGAGTCCCGCATCGGGCTCCCTGCTCGGCGGGGAGTCTGCTTCTCCCTCTGACCCTCCCCCCTCTCATGTGCTCTCTCTCATTCTCTCTCTCTCAAATAAATAAATAAAATCTTAAAAAAAAAAAGAAAAGAAAAGAAAAAGAAAAGGCTAAGAGATCTTGATAAATCCACACAAGGAATGTAATGATTGATGAGTGAGAACTGGACATCGGGGGATAGGAAAACCAACACCTGAAAAATAGTTTGTTGCGAGAGGCTCCTTGCAAATCAGCTCATTTAGTTTACCCTGAGATTTCTGTTCCGCAGGCTCACAAACCCATTCCTTGGGACCACCATGGGGAGGCGGAAAGATGCTGAGTTGAACTTCTGGCACGCGGCCCAGCCGGGCTTTCTTATGTAACAATCGCCTGAGCTAGTTAGTATGAGAACTTTTGAAATAAAAGCTAAGAGTGGCCAAAACAAATATGTGGCCAGATTAAAACCAACTTGGCCAATGTTTCTCTAACATTCCTGCTTTATAAACACAGAAAACAGTAATAAAATAGAAGGCTGTGTTTTTGCCACAAATCAGTCCGTGATCGCTGTTTGCCCGTGTCTGTTACATTGTCTTCACCATCAAAAGCTTGAGCATTCCACAGAGTCCATTGAGAGCTTTCGAAACGCTAACCCAAACAAAACAAAAGTCAGGGATGGAGAAAGGCATGTTCGCTGTTCTCTGCGTGGGTGTCACAGAAGTTTTCTCTTTTGTAACTATTGTTGGATCTTTCAAGCAAACACCTAGAACTCTCCCCTCTCCGGAAACCAGGTATTTGTGGACCAGGTGATGTACTTGATTAGCATGCTGTGCCTTTATTCCCAGAAGAAAGGGAATGGGACAGAACACTCTGTCAAATAAACAATTGCCCAAGGTCTTGGGCAAGAGAAATTGGGACAGGAAGCAGACAGTGGACTCTTTGCCCCAGGTAACTGCCTGATAAGGTAAACACGCCGTGTACAATGAGTTCCTGTCCTCCTGTGATAAATATTTATATGCTGAACCCTGTGTTTGAAAGCACTAAACCATTTCTCAGGCTGAACATTGACCTTTGGATGCAAAACACAGGGCTAATTTTACAGGTGATGTAATTAATTTGTGTGGCTCAAAGCCGTAGTGGGAACAAGAGAAATTGTTGTTTTGGTGATTGTTTAAGAAGGATTCAGCCGGTGTGCACACCTTTCAGGGAACAGTGTCGACTCACAGTCTGGAGCTCTTCTTAGTCACACCTGGAATTCAAGGCTTTTAGGAAGATGGCGATGTGGAAGTTTATCTGCAAAAGGACTCAGGTTCTCCAGATGTTAGAAGAGGTGATGAACTCGACCCTGTGTTTAGGTTAGGCATGGCCTCGTATTATTGCTCAGAGTGCCCCGAGGACTTTATTTTTAACATATGGGTTTAGCATGGCCCCAAATTTCTGTGACCTAGATGTATTTCACGTTAACATTAATAAAATATGCAGGCCAACCATTCTTTCATGGTGAGCTGAATTAACCCCATCCCCCCAAAAAGTAAAAGGCCAATGACAAGTGAGGAAAGATATTTCCCACAAAACAGCCCTGTCTTTCTAGGTGGTAGAAGCTGGAAACCAGGGTCCATCCTCCTCCCTTCCCTCTCTTTCACCCCCGTGTTCTGTGTATCTAAAGCCCTTGTTGCACCCCTGCAAGATCTCAAATCCACATACTGCTCGCATCACATTTTGCCAATTTCCTGGCTTCTCCAACTTGTTCTCTGCACAGGTGTCCCCGGGCACTAACTCACCAAGACCAAGCTCAAGGTCTTTCCCCCACAGCGGGCCCTCCTGGGCTTCTGTTTCTCGTTAAATAGCACCATCTCCAGTTCTACTCATGGGACCTGGGACTACTTCTTGGGTCCCCCCTCCCCCTCCCCTGACCCACGCTTTACCAGGCCGTGTGGATTGTCCTTCTGGAACACCACCCATATCACAGGCTATTCACTGCCTCCAGCCTTTCTCAGGACACCTTCCCCTCCCACGTGGACCACAGAAAGGGCCTCCCATGACCTCTGGGGTCCACTCAGCAGCCCTGGCTTCATCGTCCCCAGAGAAGCCAGAGGGACCTTTCTCAACCACAGACGTGATTTTCAATCACTTCCAGGCTGAAAACCATTTTTTACTTCCCTCCACCCTGAGGATGAAGATAAAGATCCCCATTCCACTTTCAGGGGCCGAGCCACTAACCCCCGGCCGCCGCCCTCAAGGTGGCTACTCAGAGCTCTAGCCACACCAACGCCCAACACAGAGCCCAGTCAGCTCTCCACACTTTCCCCCCACCTTTAGTTCACTTCTAAAAACTCATCAGCTTCTGAGATTAGCTTACTTACTAGCCTGCATGTCACAGGTGCCAGGTGAATATCTGTGGGATAGATGAACGGGTGAAAGAGCCAATCAAGGAAACTTCCGGGTGATGGGTGGTGAACTCATCCAAGAAAATGGCAGAGCTTAAAGAACCACGAGCTATGCACCTAGACCTTGGATGGCTGTCTTATAGCTGTGGACAAAGAGTCTAGAAAGGCAAAGAAAATCATTGCCGGCCACCTGTCTGACTGCCTCACCTTAATCTGGACCTCTAGTCTCTGCGCCCACCCCCACTTCCCTTCACTTGTCATCCTTCACCTTCCAGCTGAAAGCACATTCCCTCCTGTGTTTGGACACACCCAGCTCCTTTGGGCCGCAGGGCCTTGCACGTGCTAACATCTCTCCAGCCCCCGCCCCTCCCACCACAGCTGCTCATTTCCTGCTCACTCCTCCTTCCAATTACAGCTCCAGTGTCACTTCTTGAGAACCTTCCCGAGCCATGGACTAGATCAGATCCCCTCACGGCACACAGGCCCTTGCCTCTACATGGCTTATCCCATTTCATAATCACGTATTCGGGTAATTCTGCCATGATGGCTTCTCTTCCTGCCCCATGAAAGCCGGGATTGTGGGGTTTTCCTCGCCCCGTCATGCAGGCCAACCTCTGACACGGCAGCTTGTCTAAAGAGGTGCCCAATGACTATTTGGTGATTTTTATGTAGCAAAAGAAGTGTTGATACTCTTACATCCTTTATATATGTGATCCTAAAACTCTAAGAGAGCAGGTGGGCAAAGGATTTAGCAGGCAATTCAAAAAGGAGAGATACAGGAGTGCCTGGGTG